CAAGGACCCAAAGTGCATTGGAGGACACTATGGCTAAGACAGGGACTCAAACCACAACAACTATAGTCATTGCCCCAGTAGTGGAAAAAAAAAAAATTGATAAGGCAAGCTACAGGTCCATATCAGTGATTAGTAAGGGAGGAAGAAGAGGAAGAAGGAGAATCAGGAGATGAGATCAAAAAGCTGGTCCTTCAACAAAGAAATTGAAAGGAGTGAGACAAATCAAACAGGAAACTAAAGTTAGTTGGTCCCTGACCTCCTCAGAACTTGGAGACTTGCAGAAAGATTACAGCTGCCAGCCAGGTGAGCGGATTCCTACCTGGCTGCTTCGATGCTGGGATAATGGGGCTGATAGTCAGCAATTGGAAGGTCATGGAGCCCAACAGCTGGGATCTCTTGCCAGAGATCAGGACACTGAAAGAAGAATTGGGAAAGAAGGAACAATTTGCAGTCTCTGGAGATGGCTCCTCTCAATTGTGAGGGCAAGATATCCATTTAAGGAAGATCTTATGAACTCCCCAGGAAAGTGGACCAATGCAGACAAAGGTATCCAGTACTTGAGAGAATTAGCAGTGCTGGAAATTGTTTATAGTAATCTAAGAAGTGGTAACACCCCTAAAGATCTAGAGGATGTCCCTTGCACAATGGCTATGGGAGGAGAGAGGGGTGGGGGGGAGGTGTTTTTAAGATTTATTTCATTTCTCATTCTCCTGCTCTGATTCTGTTAATAATAAATTTAATTAATATACCCACTTTGAGTCTATTTTGCCTGTGATGGTGATCAGCGAGTGATCTCTGCATTACATTTTCTCTTTTCTGTCCAGTTGCAGAGGGGAGTGAGAGAGTGGATTTAGTGGGTACCCAGTATCCCACAGCTTCTCTGGGCAACCTGTTCCAGTGCCTCGCCACCCTCACAGTAAAGAATTTCTTCCTAGTATCTAGTCTAAACCTACTCTCTTTCAGTTTGAAGCCATTCCCCCTTGTCCTGTCACTACATGCCCTTGTAAAAATTCCCTCTCCATCTTTCTTGTAGGCTCCCTTCAGGTCCTGGAAGGTCACAATTAGGTGACCCCCCTAAGCCTTCTCTTTTCCAGGATGAACAAACCTCTATATTTATATACAGTAGGGTAAATATTAATGTTATGCTCCTTCAAAAGTACTGCTTAGCAGTTATATGTCTTTGCTATAGTAAAATTTTGCTTTGCAAATGAATTCAGAGCTTAGGAAGAATAATATAAAGTAGGCTAGAAGAATTCTCTCTCAGTTTGATTTAATAGCATACAAAGCTTAGACTCTAACCACAGTTAGCTATTATCCTTTAGAGTATACATTTGGTTTGAAAATATAAGCTAAACAGAAAATAATTACACATGCTGATGGGTAATTTTAAAGAGTCTTATCATGAAAATTCACAGGTTTATGCAGCTCTACAAGTTGTCTTGTCTGACTCTAATAAACCAAAGATGCAACTGTTTTCCCCTGCAGCAGTATCACAAACAAGTACTCTAAAATCTGTTTATAGAAGACAGACATAAAAAGGAACAAGGAATACCTCTTAAGGGGAAGCTTTCCAATCATTTTCCAATTAAAATCCTAGTTCAGAATGTAGATAATGAGAACACTAAGGCAAGCTCTTAATTACTTTTTATTTCTGTGAAAATTGCAAGGTACTTTCAGTGTAACTGGTATATCTCCTCTACAATATTATTCCAAAGGCACTAGGAGGAGCTCTAATTGTTCCCCAAAAGAGACTAATTACCAGCTAATAGCTATTAAAGTAGGCTCAGTTTACTGGGTTTGTTAATGCAGATTTTGTGTAAAAGGTTCAAAATACATCCATAGCACAGAAACACAAGTTTATTACTGGAGTTAAAAAAGACCTCCTACAGAACAAATGTTATCAATGTTTCTTGTTACTGTGGTCTCTCTCTCTACATATTTATCTATCTATATATCTGTTCACACTGTTCATCCTGTACACATACATTGTGTGTTTCCATCAGAAGTTGAGTGGTGATGGCTACAGGTGACTTGGCCTCCCAGGCTCATAATACATAATGATGCACACATATTATATACAATTTTTTTTTGTTTATTTTCAACAACACTATGCTGACCAGAGGTAAAAGGCAACACTTCGTAGAAACCTAGTTTGAGAAAGGCATTTTAATAATGTCTTTAACTCATTAGACATGCATATCTAAGCTGGATGTGGTTAGGTACCAAAAACTGCATTACAGTTACCATAAGTTGTTACCTCTACACAGCCACAAACACCTCCTGTGGTTAGCAGTTTCCTCCTTGCAGCCCAAATCACCATACAGACCACATCTGCGGTGTCATGTCCACACTGCACTTGCAGCGCTTAGTATCCATTCTGTGATCTCAGGTGTCTTCATCTCACCTGTGCACTTCCTTAGTGCAACACATGCATTGCATGCACCATTTGCCTGCTCGTGTCACAGAAACAGACACCTAAAGGATGGCTCCTACCTGCGTGCAGCACTCTCTGCAATGACATCTGCACTCACTGATCTGACCTCTACATCCACTGCATTTGCTCCTTGTACTGCTGCCAGAGAGTCTCTGACATCTTCTGTTCCCAGTTTGTGGGCCTGGCTTTTTCCTGCAGATGGGATCACAAGAATTGCTCCACAGGTCCTAGGTTTTACTCCAGGTTAAGGACCTGAGCTGCCCATCAGGTACATGGGTCTGCTGCGGTAGGCCAGCTCACCCGAGCCATCACCAGTCTATTTCTGATGGGAATGACTAATGCACACACAGTGGGTGCTCTAGTGGTTAGGGTGCAGCACTCTCACCGCCATGGCCTGGGTTCGATTCCCGGTCAAGGGAAACTCCCCCGGGCAGATGGAGCTCGTCAGCCCTGTAAGGCCATCCATCTAAGAGAAGGTCACTCTAAACAAACCTACGTCCCAAGGACTTCGCTGCCACTGTCCAAGCTCGCTCGGCCCGGCAGATGAACCTCAGGATTAAAGGGTGGGCTCAGTTCAGCGCACACTGTGTCTCACCTAAAAAATCCACTGCACAGGCTCGAAGGGTAAAAGACCTTTCCCAAATCTTTGTTCGCGAAGACTGGCCATGATGATGGATGAACAACAGTGAGATCACAAGTTTCTGGATATCAAAGAGCCGAAAATATGCTATTAGAACTAACACGCCCTTTCCTGGGACACCATACTGCTGGAGACAAGGGTTACCAATGCCCTCCAGAGTCATGCCATCACTAACTCATGAAAGAGAGTAGAGAAATCTGTGCATGTCCACAATGAGCATCTTTGGTGGGGAAGACTGACTAATTTGAATTTTGGCATCCCAAATATGTATAAAATAAGGTTGGGCAGGCCCTACTAGCCAGGGACCCCTCAGCGTCATTGGGGCCATCAGCAAGAACTGACTCCCACTTGTCATCTCCCATGAGGTTCCTACCAAGAACTCAGTTGCAAAGGCTACCTCTCCATCACACTTGGAAGACCACTGAGAAAGATGAATACAGCAGCTGCACTTGTGACACCAAGGTCTTTAAGAATTCCTCTCTTTACCAGAAAGGTAAAACCAAGATCCTTCTCCCAGGCACAGACACCAGCCTACCCAAGGTTCAAATACCAGCCTAAGGCTTGGCAGATACTGTATGTCTCCCTCTAACATAATCACGCAAGCGCTCACTGCTGCGCTTCCATCAGCCTTGATCACTTGAACACCTTGACCAGTGTATGCATTTGTCAACTGACCACATTATGGCAAACCTTAAGGGACTGGGTGAATACCAACAGCCCCAATCCTGAGTGCATCCGCTTCCCCAAATATGCAGAAGTTCTGCAGTAGTCCCCAGGATAGTTTCCTAAAGGAAATTACTACAATTTCAAATTGAAAGGTCAGCACCATGAAGTGAAGAGCCATTTGTACACAACTCAAATGCTGAAAGAGGCGGTTGTCACAAGTATAAAAAAAAGGTTTCAGAGGTCCAGTTCCAGATGTAATTTGTACCTCAAAGATTAAAAACTCTGCAGCTGGCACTAGTAACAGTCTGGCAGCCATGAAAGCTGAACAGAATCCTGACAGTCCTGTGGAGATGATATTTCTGCCTACACTCAGAGGCAGAAGGTATTGCTACACAGATCTGTGTTTAAGGAAACTGAATTTTAAAAAAACAGCCTTGGCAGCTGTTATAGACAAGGCTGAGAGACCAGTGAGGCCAACATCTGCCCATGCAGCTTGAAGAGGTCAGCCCAGTCAATAACCCTAATTCTGAAAAAGAATCTCCTCTCCAGCTGTTGTAGCACCCATTTTGGGAATTTAGAGCACAGATCCAATCACCTCTACCTCAAAAGATGGGCTCTAAGACATCCCATCTTGTACTGAGTGTAAGAGAATCTTACAAGTGCAATGAAATGCCAACATCAGGGCATTTCAATGGCTGTATCATTCTAAGTGTATCCATTCAAAAGCCCAAGACATAAACATTTTCTTTCTTCAGTCCAGTTGATGATCACTAAATGATATTCCCTCAACAATGTGGTTTTCCTGCATTCTACCTTCATCTTGACATCAGGTATCTCACCTCTGCATCTCCCTTCAGTATCCAGAAGGAATCTTCTCATGCATGAGTGACTTGGATGTTTCGTCCAATTCTGTGTTATCTCTATGTTTTTCTAATCTGCCACTTCTTTGGCTAGATAAGGCTACAGAGAGACTGTGGCTTCTGCTTCCACTCAGCTTGAGCGTCTTGATCATGCTCAACATTCCCCCAAATAAAGAGGAAAAATAAAGCTGCTAACATGCCACCTTCTTATACATCAAGGCAACATCCTCCTCCTCCTTTGCTACAAGTCCTTGAAGTAGTTAACTTGACAAATATCTACAAATTCAACTTTAACTATATTCAGTAGACACTACCCCAACCCACATCGTTCCAATAATTCTGAAAATACATGTGCAGAAGAAGTTAGTCCTCTTAGGCAAGTAAGCCTTTCTTTACATACCTTGGAGTCAGTGGATATACTTGACTGTCCTCGCAGCCTACTGATTTCACACTTGCAGATCTGTTTTTGCAGCATCTGGAAGAACATGGCCATTGTCAGAAGTCAGGAGCTAGTACATGTCCATGAGTGATGCAAATTTTTATTTTGTCAGCTGAATTGTTATCTATGGTAGCACACAGTGAGGAAGCAGAGAAAGGGTACTTCCCTAAAGAAATATTTCAGATGTTTTGGATGCTTGTGACACTGAGCAAGAGCTGGAGAAAGGGAATTAGAATCACTTTGTGGTGTCAGAGCTGTCACATAAAACTGAATTTCAGGCAGGGGAATTTAGGAATGGGAAAGATAAAGTGAGCTGTTTGTAGGCAGGTCAAAGGATAACACTCAGAATATCAACAGTATGAAACTGTAGAAAATGACAGCCTTTGCCTCCATCTGTCCAAACAGATTTCTGTGCTGAGTTTGGTTTTGGCAGGGAATAAAGAGCTTAGACAGGGACTCTAGTATTAAAACCTTTTCTCTTAAGTCCAGAGCTGCACTTGAAGTCTGTTGATGAGCTGAAGAGGATAGCCTTTCCCTCCAGAGAGTCATTGCACCACCCTTTGAAGCCAAAACTTGTTGCAGCTGGCAGTAACACAGTGCATACATACAAATAAAGCTAAAAAGGACAAAGGAATGAGTTTTCTATGTTGACTACCCATGTCTTCAGTAATGTCCAGGGACTCTACCTGGTGAACTACTGAGTGGTTTGATGCTGTTTATTGACTTCAATAGCAATTTTAGCACTAGCATCACACTTATCAACTCCAACTTGAGCTGTTCAGCATCAGCTTGACTTGTTATTTGTCAGTTATTTTCAAGCACTAGCAATAATCTCACACTACTTAGACTTGCTTCAGGTGTTGCTTCTTTCCTCCTTCAACTTACCAGACAGAACTGCTTCCAGACTTCCATTTTAGATATTGGCTGGCCCAAACATCATGGCTTCTGTTCCTAAAATCCAATTAGATTCCACAGCATCATCACTGCAGGTTTTATTCTGATGTCTGGTGTGCAAAGATGGCAGCACAAATCTATCTGAAATCATATAACACCATAGAAGGTTTACATGAGTGCTACAAGGGTATGAATTACATTAAATATCTTTAAGAACAGCATAAAAGACAAAGTCTTCAAAATAGTCATCACAGCCTTGTAGGTGTTCTACCCAGGCCTCTCATGAACAATTTCATGTATCACTAAGTTCAATTTATGTAATGATGTAACTTTGTATTGATCTGCAGGGGGGAAAAAATTAGATTTTCAGACTATTTCATACTATGCAATTAAGTATCAGCTGAATTTTGTCATTGACTGGCTTACGTTCATCAGTCTGTGCTACACACAGCTGCCACAAAATCATACTTGCTGAAAAGTTATATAATTAGATTCTGTTCAAGCACTGCTGGGATTCTGGGTATCTTCACACCATCCTTTTCTTTTGTACAGTAGATAAAAACATTAAATAACTTCAAACTAGTGCTTGACCATTTATTTAGTATAAAACCATTGTTTTTCTATTTTTCCAGATTGTGGTGCCCTCTCTCATGTCACCAAGCTGTTAGCTTTTTCAATTTTGCATTGGGGTCTCCATAATAATATTTGTTCCATGCTGACATTGAAGTGCCAGAGCCTGAGACAGACCAGAATTGACTTACAGATGAATCCTATGCTGTCCCTACTTGATATAGAAAAATGGGTGAACCTTATACATAGCTTAGTTAGACTGCTTGTGCTAAATATGAACCTTATACATAGATTAGCTAGACTGCTTATGCTAAGCATTATTATGCCAAACCATATATTTAAGGAACCTTTCACTAAATGTTGTCTGTTAAACTGGATGCTTAAGAAATTGTGGTATACTCTTGTGACTGTCTGCAAGATATTTTAAGGACCTTTAGGAACCTCGCCCAACTGAGACCTGGGTTGTGGCCAAACCCTGGTCTTGGGTAGTTGGGAAGACTGTCATCAGATGTTTTCCCATAACAAAATATACAAGTCATTCTGACTTGTCATTCTGACAGCCCTATAAAAGCTGGACCCCCTCACAGCAAAGATGGAGACCTCACCTATGAGTGGACGCACCGTGTAGGACTTCCCAGTTACTGGGAGTGGTTCTCCAAACCTTCACTGTGATTGGGGCTCCCCAGCAAATGAAGTGGTCTGGATGATGGTAATGTGTTAATGGGGTAACTGGTGATGTATCTTTCTTAATCACTGTTCTTTGCTTGTATAGTAATGATTAGATGCATTACCTTGCTTTGTTTGTTGCCAAAATGGTGCGTGTGCTAAGCTTATTGCCATATTAAATGCATTATTTTGTTTTTGTGTTGTCTTAATACTGCTAGTAAAGTAAGACCCTTCCCTCTGCTGCTGTCTGTGTCCTCTCTATCGCCCATCAGTTAGCAAAACAGACATTAATACAAATGTTTTCTAGTTTGGAAAGGAAGAATTCAGTGAGTTTTCAAAATATAGATAGAGACTGGGATATGCAGTTGAATGAAGTCTGTGTGAGGAAAGCAGGACAAAATAAAAGTATCCTTTTTTAATTTTATGTTCAGCAAAAGGCAGTGCCCACCCATCACTGCCCAAGAATTTAGCTGCTCTAGGATCTGCCTCTTAGACATCCATAAAATTAATTACTTCTCCAGTGAGGCTGGATATACCATTGCTGCCTCTACTAAAAGTTATGTCCATTGTGTCTGAATCACACAATGCATCTGCATCAGCTTTGTATCTGTGTGTGCTCATGAGCTGAGATAGTCCTTCACAGGCTACATATCATGCAGTTCTTATTCCCATACCTCCACAGGAACAAGACTCTCACATAGTTACCATCATTATATTGCCACTAGTCAGATATCAAAAGCCACATAGTCATTGAATAGCTGTACATTTCTAGCTTTATGCAAGCATTTGGAATCAATCCATTCAGCTGACTGTCGTCCTTAACCAGCTATTAACTCTGGAGAAGGTGCAAGAAGCAGAACACGTCCATATCAAACCATTAGCAAACTACAAAGCTACCTGATACTGTGTATACTATTCTTGCATAGGCAGGCAATTAACGTCAGTAGGAGAAAGTTTGAAAGCTTTCTATAAATAACACCAATGCTCCAGGAAGCAAGGATCAGAAAGTAAGTGCTCAAATGCATGTTCTGAATTCAACCACAAATACATTTCACCTTAACAGAGATGAAAGCCTCTGTACTGCTAGTACAAATGTCAGCCTTTTGTACTGATAGACTTTTACACCCACTTCTACCCCAGTGCATAGAGATCATTGATATTATTGACATTTCACATCAAAAAGGTGTTTTAGGCTTAGCCATCTATACTCCAAATATCTCCTCACCCCTTCAGAAGAGTGAGGAGTGACTTAGTCAATAAGCAAAAGGTATGGAGTTTTGTGAAAGAAAGGATCACAAAATCAACAATATGGGGCTTAGGCATAGTCACCTCCAGCACTTACAGGTAAGGCAAAGCAGTTCCTGCAAAGCACCATTATGGAGAAATTCCCACAACCCTTTTTAGTAAGTCAGCATGCTGGGGTGCCTCACTGAAGTGCTTCTATGCTGATGCACACAGTAGGGGAATAAATGGGAAGAGTTATAGATCTGCATGCAGTTACTGGACTATTACAATGGTGGAATACATGCTCCGTGGGAAGAACAAGCTAAGGAGACAAGGGAGAGGAGTAGCCCTTTACGGGAGAGAGGAGTTGGACTGCATAGAGTTCTGCCTGGGGATGGAAGATGAACCTGAAGGAACTGGCTGATGTAATTGTGAGGCTTCTCTTTATAGTCTTCAACCAGAAAAACTGGGAGAAGTGCCTGAAGACCAGGGAAAAGCAAACGTCACTCATACCTTCAAGAAGAAGGACCCAGCGAACTACAGGCCAGTCAGACTCAATTTGATCCCTTGGAAAGTGATGGAGTAACTAACCCTGGAAGCCATTTTCAAGCACATGAAAGACAAGAATCATAAGGAAGAGTCAGCATGGATTCACCAAGCAGAAGTCATGCTTGACAAGCTGGATAACCTTCTATGATGAAATGACTGGTAGACAAGGGTAGAGCAGTGGATATAGTCTACCTAGACTTTAGCAAGGCTCCCAACACTGTCTGCCACAAGATTCTCACAGGGAAGCTGCTTAAACTTGAGCTGGATGAGCAGCCAGGGAAATGGAATGAAAACTGGCTGAATGGCCAGGCCCAGGAGGTGGTGATCAGTGGCATAAAGTCTAGCTGGAAGCCAGTAACTAGCAATGTACCCCAGGAATCAATACTAGGTTTAATCCTGTTTACTATCTCCAGTAATGATCTAGGTGGTGGTGCAGAGGGTACGCTCAGCCAGTTTGTATGACACAAAACTGGGAGCAGGGGCCAATATGCCAGAGGGCTATGCTGTCATCCCAAGGGACCTTAACAAGCTGGAGAAATAGGCCAACCCAATGAAGTTGAGTAAGTGCAAAATCCTTAAGCTGAGGAGGAACAACCACGTGCACCAGGACATGTCAGGGGCCACCCAACTGGAAAGGAGCTTTCTGAAAATGCAAAGGGGACAGAGTCGGAGTGTGTAAAGGGGACACAGTCAGATTCTTTTCAGATGTGCCCAGGACCAGAAGCAATGGGCACAAGCTGAAACACAGGTGACATTGTTCGAATATCATGAAACACTTTTTTACTATGAAGATGACTGAGCACTGGCACAGGTTGCCTGGAGGGGTGGTAGAATCTCCCTCTTTGGATACACGGTTATAGTGCTGGGCAACCAGCCCTAAGTGGCCCTGCTTGAGCAAGGTGGGTGTACCAGATGACCTCTAGAGGTCCCTTCCAATCTCAACTATTTTGTGATATTTATTGCTTCCCCCTCAGCTTAACTAAGCTATATTGGGACTTTTTCTCATTGTGGTGATACCTTTCTTTTCCTCAGCTGCACAGACACTTTGGGGCAAATTTCTCCCCAGCATTTGCTCAGCAAAGCCACAAGTATCAGATTATGGCATCACACAAATGAGTAAGAACGGATCTGCCTGATGGTAAGGTTTGATCTGAGCAGTGCAAGCTTCAGCATTGCTTCCAGGAATTATTGTCTCAGGGACTTCCTGAGTCAGAAGCGAATCTTTGTACTTAATAGTCATTGACATATTTCTCTTCTATGAATTAATCCAATCATTTTTGGAACACATGTAAATCTTTAGCATCCACAATGTCCTGTGATGACCAGTTTCACAACTGAATAGCATGTTATGATGAATTATATTTTCCATTTGGTTTGAACCTACCATCAGCTATGTGGTTTTGACACCCACTAATTCTTGAACAGAATGAGGATGCAAGAAGTTCCCTATTCAGTTTGTGCCATTCACAGCTTTATACAGGCATAACCCAGACCAGTTCTCTCTTTGAGACTGAAGAGCCTGGATGAAGACTCAGCAAACTGTTCCTCATACAGGAATCATTCCATTCCTTGATCAGAAAACCAGCCACCTATTAGATAAAACATTTCCAGTGTAACTATGTTCTTCTTGAGATTAGAGGACCAATTATAAAATGTTCAAGATGTCAGTACACCATAGATTTATACAGCAATATATCCATTTAGTGATGAACAGTTCAAGAAAGAAAAGAGCACAAGAAGAGGATGTTGCTGAGAGAGGATGATGTTAATTGCATCTAAGCTTCACAATGGAGCATGATGGCTTTAGAGCTGTGAATAAGCCTGGGAAATGCAACATTTCTACATAAGGCAGTGAAAAGGACTCTTAGGACAGAAACAGCAGCTGCAAAGAGAGGAATAAGTAGCATCCAGCAAATTTGTTTTAACCATTCATGAGATAAGTCACAACCACAGTGTTGATGTTCAAGACCATACAATCAAAAGTTACAGCTGAAATATTCAGTGACTTTTCAACTGTTTGTACAACAAAATGTGAACATGTGAACAAAGACCAAGTGAACTTTTGGTCCTCCATGTATAAAAAAAAAATGTATTATAGTCCTATTTCAGCAAATATAACAAACAGGAG